TTTGAGTTGTTCGCCGCCCTGAGTCCCTCCCGGAGAAGGGCGGCATACAAATAAACTAAAATTTAATCTTAATCTTAGGTTGCTTCTCTCCTTGATTAGTTTCCACCCATTGCTTCTTGTTCTACCTTCAGGTGCCTTGGAGAATAGCTTGACTCCCTCTTCTTTGGGGCAACCCCTGAGATATTGGAACACTTAAATCCAGGAATATGTCAAAAGGTTAACTCATGGCAACGGGAGCGACATTTACAAAAACTGAGGCATTTCGTTACTCATCCAAGTTAACTTCTTCACTCGAAATCAAATTTTGGGCAGTCAAAGAGTCATTAGAATGGATCAACTGTGCAGCAGCTGCCAAAAAAGCCAACACCCTTCTAGGCTGCATAAACAGAGGGGGAGAATCAAGATCACGTGAAGGGTTAATACCACTTTATAAAGCCTTGGTAAGGCCACACTTGGAATACGGCGTTCAGCTTTGGTCACCACGATGTAGAAAAGATGTGGAGACTCTGGAAAGAGGGCAGAGAAGAGCAACAAAGAGGATTAGGGGAGTGGGGGGTAAAACATACGAAGAACGGTTGCAGGAACTCGGCATGTCTAGTCTGATGAAAAGAAGGACCAGAGGAGACATGATAGCAGTGTTCCAATATCTCAGGGGTTGCCCCAAAGAAGAGGGAGTCAAGCTATTCTCCAAGGCACCTGAAGGTAGAACAATAAGCAATGGGTGGAAACTAATCAAGGAGAGAAGCAACTTAGAACTAAGGAAAAATTTCCTGACAGAACAATTAATCAGTGGAACAACTTGCCTCCAGAATTTATGAATGCTACAAGACTGGAAGTTTTTAAGAAGATGTTGGATACCCATTTGTCTGAAGTGGTGTAGGGTTTCCTGCCTGGGACTAGAAGACCTCCAAGGTCCCTTCCAATTCTGTTATTCTATTCTATTCTCTAAAAAAGGGGCAAGTTCTAAAAGTGAAGATGGACATTCCTGAATATCTCCATGTTGCAATTCTTCCAACAAAGCCCCCATCTCAGGTGGTTTATGTATTGGTTTTTAGCACATTCATACATTCCTGTGATAATTGTTCATCTTTTCAAACATACACCCAAGTGCTTACCTAGTAGAAAGCCAAGCTGTTGGCCTCCCCCATTGCATTTTTCTCTTTTTGTGGTTGGCATTGACTCCACTCTGTCTGGAGAAGGTAAGCTGAACCAGGGACACCCTTTTGGCTGGGAATAAAGACCAAAAAACAACAACAAAAAAGTCAACTCTTTGGTGTCCAAGTCATAATTTTGTTATTAATCTTGGTCCAGTGGAATCACCTTCAGTTTTGACAAATTACAGACCATTCATCCTAAAGCCATCTAAGCACCCCTATTCCGTGGTTAATTCTACATACATAGTTCTCTAAACAATTAAAAATTTCTGTGTATTAGTACCCAAAACATAGGGTGGAGGGGGGAATTATAATTTTAGTCTGATCTATTGATTTGGGTGTAATTACAATATTTTTTTCAAAAGATAGTTGTTTTTTTTTGTCAAATATAAAGGATAAATGTTTTAGAGATTTTTAAACCTGGCTGCATTTTTTGCAGCCCTCTTCCCTTCCTGTAATGAGGTACAAGAGAACAGTTTAGCATTCCAGGCAGGTATTAAGAGTCCAAAAGTTTATTTTATGTACTTCAGCTCAAACAATATTGATAACTTGGCACTGGTTACTTCTGACGGTGCTGGAATCTGAACTGCTTTAATAGCAATGAAAGTACTCTATTCATTTTACTGGCCTATCGAGCAAAAAGCCAAATACATTGCAATGGATGGGAGGGGGTGGTAAATGGTCATATGGATCTTTAGCCTGAATGGTCCTTCAACTGCGCTGCTTGGTCTTGGTTGCCAGACCTCACTGGGCACGTGCACTTCATTCAGTTCCTTTACTGCTAAACCACTTCGTGTCTTGAACCTAAGGAAGCCAATAAGAAGTGCTTTCCTCCAGAGAATGCTGGGATTCTGTGAGAAAAAGCATTAAGTGGTACAGTGTATCAGTTAAAGGATGGGAGGGGGAGAAGTACTTCCTCTGAAACTGCTGAGTATGCTCTCTCTGTGAAGACAGAGGAAAGAAGTATAGATTAATTTGATGGAAATGGAAAGAGAGGTAAGGATGAAATAGTCGCTGCCAGCTAGCATTCCCCCCAATTAGGAGGAGGTGCCAGGAACTGTTTTGTTTTGTTCAACTGCTGTAAAGTTCAAGATTCCTTCCTTACAAGCATGCCGAGTGAAATGGAATGCTCAAATAATTCATCTCAAAAGGAGCCTCTTGGAATGCAAGACCTCCATCCAGTTATCTGGGTTTGACATCATGCAGAGCCATCAAAAGTTTCATTCAAAACAATTTTGCTCCTTTTAGCTTTCCCAGGAAGGGAGCTGTGTAAACATATTATGACATTGCTGAGATGTCTGTCCCTCTCATGAAATAGAATAGATGATCTTTGTTCCAACCCATTGCACCATTTTCGAGAGTTCTGCAAAGTAGCCAAAAAGATGGCGGCCACACATCGAAGGACACCCAAAGCGTTTCTTTTCATCCTTTTAAAGCAGCTGTGTCATTTGCAGAGCTCAAACAACTGCTTAGGTAGCTATTCGTGGTTCCATCCACAAAACTATAGTGCTTTTTGAGCACTGTCAAATCAGTTTCAAAATGATGGTGCTGGAACTTTGACTTGTGGGATGATTCTGTGTTGAGGCTACATTAGACAGGAAATGATATGAAAACAAACTGTATGTACATGGGCTGGACCAGGATGATCTGGAGAAAGGAGTTAGGTTTTCTCTTTGCACTTTTAGTTGAAATCTATTTTAGGGCTTGCAGTACAGTTGTCATTGTTTCTTACCCATTCAGGGTTTGAAATTATGGCGCTGATTTTCAACGCACAGCGACGATAAAGCCAGTCAGGAATTTGTGATTCCTTGAAGGGCATTAAGAGGCTGCAAGAGATCTTGTTGCAACAGGTTGCTTAGCTCTGCTTTAAGTGCATTAATTTGTAATTGTAGAGTAGATATGGGCATATAAAAACATGGAAGGAAAATGAATGGGTAGCGATCAGAATCCCGATTTCTATTCATTGTAAAATACATATGACTTTTAACATTGCTCCTGCTTCACTGGGAATATTATATATTTATGGCTGCCCTGAACTCCTGTTGTAAATAGAGATATTATACTGACTTAATTCTCTTATGTGCACTGAGCAACAAATGCTTCTACACAAATGATGACAAAGTTGGCCCATGGTATTTTGAGAGGCAACTGGACTTTTTTTTGTTTTTCTTTGAAGATGTTTCACTTCTGCTCCAAGCAGCTTCTTCAGCTTTGGCTGGATGGTGGGAAATGGAAAGATTTATACGCCTTGCAGACAACTTGTCATTCTCATCCTTTTATAGAGTTGTTGAGGCCACCTGGAGGTTTATCTGTGTCCTCAGGATCACCTGAGTAGTGTAAATGGGTGTGCAGCCTTCTTGGAACTGTTGATAGGACTGTGATGTAGACTGGAGAGAGATGATGTTGTATCCCTCCCCCTCTGTTGAGAGAAGGCTGTTCAATTTTGACATAGATGGCCTCTTTGAACCCCTCTTCCAAACTGGTAGTCCAGTCTGCCAAAAATGTGGACTTTGCTGTCTTCAAAACAGTAACCTTTGTCTTTTAAATGCAGAACAAACCCATCAGGACAAGATTTAGCACTCCATCTGCATTTAAAAGACATATGATCACAATTGAGCCCAAAATTTCTGTTGTTAAGTGAGATATTTTTAAAGTGAGTTTTGCCTCATTTTACCACCTGTATCATCATAGTTATTAAGTTAGTAACCCAGTGGTTACTACACTGACTTTGCTTGTCAGAAGGGTGCAAAAGGTGATCACATGACCTTGGGACCCAACAACGTAGACAGTATGAACCAGTTGCCAAGCATCTGAATTTTGATCACATGGTCAAAATTAACTGTGAAAAATGATCATGTCACTTTTTTCAGTGCTGTTGTAACTTTGAATGGTCAATAAATGAACTATTTGAAATGAAGGACTACCTGTATTACAGTTTTATTTTTATGACATTCACTTACAAAAGAAATAGACATGCCCATATCTGAAGAATTAGTGGCTAAGACACTGAGCTTGTCGATCAGAAAGGTCGGCAGTTAGGCGATTCAAATCCCTAGTGCTGCGTAACGGAGAGAGCTCCTGTTACTCGTCCCAGCTTCTGCCAACCTAGCAGTTCGAAAACATGTAAAAATGCCAGTGGAAAAATAGGAGCCACTTTGGTGGGAAGGTAACAGCATTCTGTGCACCTTCAT